TGTCAAGCAGGTTTGCTGAGAATAATTTAAATTTCATGCGGCTGCCACTGCGGGGCAGCGCGGCTTCCTTCCCATCCCACAAGCAGGGCTGGTGCGGAGCCATGGTTCTGCTTCTCAGCACCAACCAGCCTCCCCCAGGCCCTGGCTGCCTGGAGCTGGGGGCCAGGGCGGGCCAGCAACTGGAGCTGTCCCAGCTCTCAGCTTTGCCTCAGACCACGTCAGTCAGGGAGGGGACGGCCCTCCGAGCCTCCCCATTGCCCACCAGCACCAACTGCCAGGGGGACTCATTTCTCCCCTAATGTGTGGGTACTTGGTCTGACCAAATCTCTGCATTAATTTTCAAAAAAAATTTTTCTTGCTGATTTAACTTTCTAAACTTAACTTGTATTCTGTGCTTCACAAGGCTTGTACTGTTTTAAGCTTTTCCACACATATTAATTTAACCAATCCTCACAACACCTCCACGAGGAAGAGGCCACTCCCATTCCTGTTACAGACACAGACTGAGGCCCAGAGATGCATTCAGCTCCTAAGGGGCAAAGGCAGAAATCTAGCCCAGTTCCGCCCGACTCGAGAGCGTGGAGCTCTTGCCAGCTGTGCATGTCGGGGTGACTTAACCCTTGGCCTAAATTCTCCCACCTATACCACGGGAGGTAAATACAGCGAGTTCTCACATATCATTCTTGGAAACTGTGAACATTACATTTACGAAAATCGATATGTAATGAAACCAATGTTGCCATAAGCTAATTGATATAAACAACAGTTAAGTTTCCAGGGCATATTTCTGGTCACAAAAATGTCACCAAACTTCTAAATAAAGACCCAAAACACTTCTCATAGTAAACACTGAAATAAATGTGAACTACATATTTAAGAAAGATGAATAAAAACAAGTAAGAGGATTCTTTTCCAACCCACTTATTCCCGTTCAGAGGCCCAGGTAGCCGCAGCCTCTCCTGGCAGCTCAGGGCACGAGGAGGGGCCCACGCTGGACAGGACGCCGTTCCATCGCAGGGCCGCGCACCCCCCCGCCGCCCACACTCGCTGGGACAATTTAGACATGGCAGCTCACCTCACATGCACGTCTTTGGGGTGTGGGAGGAAACCGGAGTCCCTGGAGAAAGCCCAGGCGAACATGGGAAGAACATGCAAACTCCACACAGACGGTGGGCCCAGCGGGGAATCGATATTTTTCCTCATCAATGTTACAATGAAATGACGCTTAACAAGTTATTCCAGGACGTGCCATGTGTCCATTTTCTTGCTGAAAGCTGGTGCTCGCTGTCAGCGAGGGAGGTGTGGGGGGGGCGTTCCCCTAACGGTGCTGCAATAGCGGTTACCATGGCGAAGGCGACAGTGCGCCAGGCAGCCTGGGGTGGGAACGATGCCGTACCCAGCGTGCGCGGTTTCTCACTCACAGGGGCACGTCGTCGGCAACTTCTCTGGGCCTCACTTGCTGAGTTCACAACAGAAGGGCTGGAGGGTGCGATCACCCTGCTTTTCCCAGGCTCTGGGGACCTGTGCCCTGGAGGTTCAAAAGCTGACCCAGGCCCTGAGGAGGCTGTTGGCTGGCCTGAGCCATGAGCATGTACAAGAGTGGTGTGTGTGCGCGCGTGTGCGTGTGTGTGGGCGTTGCCTCTGGCCAGGCCTTCCCCTGCCTCAGTGGCCCAGGAGTCTGTGCTTGTCTAATGGGCTTTCATCGAAAACCTGCAAGAAATCCTCAGGCCACAGAAAAATGAAGAAACAGAAAAATCAACTCGGCCCAAAGGCAGCAGTGACGACAAGAATCGCTGTCACCTCACTCATCAGCTGCAGGGAGTAGAGCCAGCCGTGCCCACCCCTGCGATCTGGGGCCATCCCCATGGCTTGGCAGAAGCGGCCTGGCCCGGGGGATGAGCAGGCGACCAGGCCCTCAGGGCTGCAGGGCAGTGGGAAGGGGCAGGCTGCCTGTCCAGCGCAGGGGTGGCCTGGCATGCCTGCAGCCCCAGACCATGTGACACTCACCCTGCTCCATGCGCGGCCCAGGAGGGATGCTAAGGCCTGATGGTGCTGACGCCTGCCCTTGGGGGGAGGGTGGGTCTAGTCCACTAGACTTTTCACCACGGAAGCTAGGCCAATACCCTCAGACAGCCTTACCACATGCTGGGGCCACAGAACACCCAGGAGGAACACCGGCTCTGCCTTGGCTTCTCTGCAGCTCTCTCCTCAGCCCCTCCGTCCTCCAGAGCAGGCTCTCAGCCGTCTTTACACATGGGGCTTTCCTCTCGGGACAGGGCCCCGTGGCTGGAAAAAGCTTGAAAGCCCCTTTCCTCAACATCCGGCGTGACAGGGGTGCTGATGCGGTTTCAGCTGGGGGACGACTCAAAGTCCTCTTCCTTCTTGCCCCTCTGCTGCCATGTCACCTGGGCCCTAACACCCCTCTATGTCACAATGTCCCCTTGAGCCCCAACCACTCAGAGACACAATTTCCTTCCCCTGCTCCCTTGGGGCCTAGCTCCTGTGTCTTGTCTGAAGACCTGCCCCCTGGGTGAGGCTAGAAATGATCACCTTTTCTTACAGGGTCATGGACCTTGCCCCCTAGGTCTCACCTGGGTAACAGGGACACCAGGGATGGCAGTGACAACAACACCTATAAAGGACTTGCTATGTGCCAGGTCTGGCTCTGTTCTGAGCACTTCACATGTGTTTCAACCCACACAACCCTCGCAACAGCTCTGGCCGGTGGGGACTGCTCCCTGTCCCCGTTTTATAGAAGTGAGGCCCCGAGAGGTCCGGCAGCTCGTCCAGGGCCGCTCAGCTAGAAAGTGGTAGAGTGGAATTCAAACCCAGGCAGCCTGGCTCCAGAGTCGGTGTTTATCCACTCCGCTAAGCTGCCTCTGCCAATAACCTCAACGGCAGAGACATGCTCAGGTCATTTGGTCACACTGTCCAGGCCACAGATTCATTATATCCCAGCCCGTGAACTCCCTGAGGGCAGGAGCCCGCCCTTGGCTGCTCAGGAGGCACTCAGCTTGTTGACCAGGGAAACCACAGATACCTCAGTTCGGCTGCTTGTCAATTGATGTGGTGCTCGCATGGGGTGAGACAAACACACTGGGGGACAGGCATCTGGGGGGCAGCAGCTAGGCCAGAATGGCAGAAGGCCACCACGGCGCGAACTCAAGAACAGTCCCTGGGACAGAAGCCACAGCCGGCGGTTGCCCTGCCTCTAACCCTGCACGCCCTGCGCTCCTGTGTGCCCGAGGATGCCAGGGAGAGCCAGGCACCTGTGCTTGATGGGACAAGCCCCTGCAGGGATGAACCCGGGTTGGAGCTGGCTGCAGACAAGTGTGCCAGGGAGCTGGCTGTCCTCACAGCCACGAACTTTTGCCCCCCCTTAAAAACCCCCCACCCTGGCTTCCCCGCCCCCTGCTCCCCCCGTAACCCGGCTCAGCCCTGCCCAGCTGTTGTTTTCTGTCCGAGGCTAGGTTCCTTTCCTCCCATGCACTGTGGTTTGGGGCCCGGCCAGGCAGGGATGGTGAATACTGAGCTGCCTGGAAGCCAAGTGGAAGCCGTGTGGGCAAGGCAGCCCCCGCTGAGGCTCCCCGCCGCTGGGTCTCCTCCACTTCCCCAGCAAGGCCCCCATCCTTGAGTGGGAAGAAACCATGAAGCAGGCTTCCAGGTCCAGCGTCTCCCTCCCCACCTGGAGCCCCCCGTGGTCGGTTCCAGACTCTGCCCTTTTCCAGATGGCCAACAGCTGGCCTTGCCCGGTGGCTGCCAGATGTGGTCGGCGGGGCAGGCGGCTGGCTCTGCTGGGCAGAGGTCACCACATCGGAGCAGTTGTGGGGGCTGGCGCCCAGGGGAGGAATGTGTTTGGCTAGTCTGGGGGCATGATGCCCAAATAATCCTCCGCCTCCTCTCCCCCATCCAACACTCCTGCCCTCCCCGCCTCAGTGGGGCGGTGTTTTCATAACAGGGAAATAAAATCAATAAGGCACTGCAGCAAGATGTCAGTGCGCTCTGAGCTGGCCTCCAATAGCTCCATTGTCTCGGGCCTCGCCGGGCTCTGTGCCGGCAGCACTCACAGTTATTAATGGGAAGCAGGGCTGAAAGGGAGTTTTGGAAATCACAGAGACAAAGGCTCAGCACACCTGGAGCGCAGCTTTCCCACACCACAGGCACCTCACAATGGCCGGGCTGGGCCCCCCCGCCTTTAACTTCTCTCGCAACTTTTAGAAAAGCAGGGAAGAAAAGACTAGACATGCCTGCACCCACAAACACACGCCTGCGCACACATATGCACACTCAGGCCCCGAGAAGCCTCCTGGGAGGCAGCCCGGAGTGACCGGCAGAGGCACAGGTGGCCTGTGGAGCCCCTGCTTGGCCGGCCAAGGAGACAGGCTGACGAATGTGCTTCCTGCCACCGGCCATGGGGCCCAGGGCTCTGAACAGCAGGATGGGGACCGGCTCAAATCGAAGCCAGGAAAGAGCTTTGTGACATTTTTATTTCGACGTCTTGGTTAGTAACACAGCCTGGTAACTGCTGCCACTCTTGAGGCTGGAGCCACCTCCAGGAGAAAGGGAACGACCTGGAGCTAATGCCCCTGAGTCCGATCGCTGGGGCCCAAAGCCTGGGTCCCTGGCTGTGACCAGTTCTCACAGACTTGCAGTGTGTTAGTATCTTCAACCGTAAGGTGGAGATGACAAAAGAATTCACGGGGCTGTCTGAGGCTTGGAGGGGACCGCGGATGTGAGAATTCTCAGCATCCTAAGAGGCAGCTTTATGACCATTTACGACTTACTGGTGGTTTGTAGCTTCTTGCAAACCCAAGTTATGGGTGACTCCAGGGGGACTGGTCTAAATTCAGCAATTTAGGGATCCCGCATTGCCAACGAACAGTTAGTTGTCCAGCCTGGCTCTGGGGACGCCAACGCTCCAGAGCATGCAGCATCCAGCGCACAGGCCGTGAGCCTGCGGAGCCGGCCCAGGCCTGCTCAGAGAGGACACAAGGTCTTACCTTGGTGGTGACGGCGGAGGCAGAGCTGGCCACGAGGCTGGTGATGGCGTCGCCGCTGCCGGTGGTACAGGGAGCAGGGGCCGTGGCGGGCGTGGGCAGCCGGGAGGGCACCACCGGCAGTGGCAGGAGGCCGGGCCGGGCGCTGAGGCTGCTGGCTGTGCCGCCGCCAGCCCCGGCGGTGGCGCTGCAGATGCTGGTGGTCCCATGTGTCCCGTTGGCACTCCACTCGCGGCGGTCCCAGCCCACCCGGTAATCTCTTTCAAAGCGGCTGTGGTGCCGGGACATCTCGGTGGGCCGTGGTGGCTCCTCACAGGTAAACAGAGGCTGGGCCTGCAGGCACAGAGAGGAGACAGGCATCAGCCTTGCGAGCGTGCGAGGAGGCAGCTACGCCTGTTGGCACCTACAGAGCACCTTCTCTGTGTGCGATAAAGGGCTTTCAAACGTTAGCTCATTTCCCATGCACAGCAAGCCCCCAGAGCACGGATCATTAGCCCCACGTCACAGATGAGGAATAAGTGATTTGTCCAGGATCACATGGCCAAAGTGTGGTAGACAGGATTTGAACCCAGTCACAGTTTAAAGTGATGCTTTTTGTTCTACTGGGTCGCGCTGCCCTGAACGATGCAGATGTGCACACTCTAATTATGGCTGGGATTTTATCCTGACGTCCCCACTGTGAAAGCGAGATCCTGTGGGCTCCTCAGGTGAGGGTAGCCGCATCTATAGTCTCACTTCACAGGGGACCAGACCCTCTACATACCAAATCTCATTGATCTTTGCAGAAGCTTGAGCGTGGGCAGAGGCAGCGTCACCCCCAATGTAAGGACCAGGGAGCTCGTTAAGAAAAAGGGACTCCTTTGAGGTCAGAGAACTAGAAGGTGAGAATGTGGCCGGGATCCCGGCTTTCCTGCTGCAGCTCAACCCAGGACTCAAGTCTGAAAAGGTGTTAAGCCTCTGGGAATTAAGAGTTCTCCTTCATAACCCTATGATGCAACCACTGCCACCGGAGACCCCGTGCTCCCGGACCATCTTCCACGTGACTTCCTTGACTATACGAACATAAGGCCCTCCGTGTTGTCATGGAGACCCAGACACACCAAGATCCACTGAGGGCCTTCAGCATTGTGAGGATTGCATGTTGCTCAGCATCTCGGTGACTGGCCTGGCTCCCAGCCCAGCCGGGCCGATGGCGCCCTCAGTCAGGAAAGATGCAAAGACACAGGGGACACTGTCTTAGCCAAAGAGGCCGCAGTGAGGCGGAGGGCAGAGGGTATGGTGGTGCCAGGGCCCAGGCAGGTGGCTTAGGATGGCATCTGCCCTGCACACAACATGCCCAGCCCTGGTCATGGCTCAGGCATGACTTGCTTTTCCTGACTCCTTTTCATTCTCCAACCATGACCTGCGTGGGGTGAGCTCCTGGAGATCGGGGATGGCTCCTGGCTCATGTTCCCATCCTACCCGTCTGGCTTGACGCTGGGGGTGCGGTGGGGTGGGGCCTTGGGGTGGTTGGCTAGAAAACAGACAGGCCACGGGCATGACCCTACTCTGGTCTTTGCACCCCCAGACCCAGCTGTCAACGTCTAGTGCCACAGAACCAGAGCTTGGCCCAACCCTCGCAAACCTGCACCCGTGTCCCCCTTGTGCGGGTGGCCCAGCCCTGGCAGCCATTGCGTCTTCCCTTAGTGCTGTGCTCTCTGCCAGGCACACAGAGCAGACCTGAGCTATGCCTGTAGGGCCACCGGAAGCAGAGTGGACCACAATATCTTAAGTTGGACAGTGGGTTCACTGTTTAGTTCATCATATGCTTCATGGCTTCCACAACGCCACACCATTATTTTTTTATCTAGTAATAAAAAGCACAAATGCATCCCCCTGAGGCCCCCCCGCCCCGCACCGCCCGCCATGGGCTTTTCTTCACAGAGTCGTCTAAGCTTAGCTCTGGTCACTTTCCCTCCTGCTCTTGTACAACCTTCTCTGGCGCACCTGGGCTCTGGCCACGCCCTGCGAGTCGTTCTCACCAGCATCCGGAAGGTTCTGCTGGTTCAATCCCTTGCCTCTCTTCACAGCTCCCACGTGGGGCGTGGTGGATCCCCTCTCTCTCTGGAAACTTCTCCGTGGTTGTTGTGACCCTCTTCCTGCTCTGCTACTCCCCCTTCGTCTCCTTTGCAGGCTCCTCTGTCTCTGCTCAGCCTTGAGGGTCCACAAGCCTTCTCCTCTCACCCTACATGGTCTCCCTTGGGTGACCTCACTGAGCTGCCACCTCTTCACTGATGACTCCGTCTCTTTCCTTCCTTAGTGCCCCACCTACTGTCCTGCTGCTTGCAGTTCACCTTTACCTGGCCGCTCCCCAGGTACCTAGATACTGTACATCCCCAAATGAACTTATTGCTCTTCTGCCCAGACACTCATTCTCAGAGATTCCTTCTCTCAGGAAAAAGCTGCCTCCATTTCCCCATCTCCATCCCCATATTTGACAGCAGGGTCTTTGGTTCTACTGCCAGTTGTTTCCCAAATCTGCTCCCCTCACCATCTGCACACCCACCAGCCCACTCACTGTCTCGCACATGGATGACCTCAAGCAGCCTTCCTGACCCTCCTCTCGCTCTTCATACCCACCCCCGACTCAAGGGTCCTCGTGGCATTTTAAAGCACAAATCTGATCACGATATTTACTCTCCCGCTTTAAGTCCCATCCTTCAGAACAAGGCCCAGGCTCCACAGTGCGGCCCAGCAGCCCTGAGGCCCTGGGCTGGCTCCACTTTCCAGCATCAAGTTCACTTTTGTTACCCCAGACGCAATGCCTGGCCATTCCAAATGCCTTACAGTTTCTGAAGGTGCCTCTGTCAGCTCTGGGCGCAAGTCCCCCTTGCCCCTAGGCAGGAATGGCTTCCCACCCTCCCGCCTGGCTCCGTCCCACTTGGCTGTTATGTCTCAGCTCAGGCGCCGACTCTTCTAGGAGGCTGCGCGGACCTGCCCCTCCCGGTGCGGCAGGACACCTCCTCTATCCCCCGGAACACCTGGCGCCCACCTCCATCTCACCAACGATGGCTGCTGTATGTTTGCTTCCCTGAGGAAAGGGAATCATCTCCTTTCAGGTGGCAAGGGTGCAGATGAGGAGGGCAGGTTCTTTGATGTGCCCACACTTGGCAGAGGGTGCTTGGGATCGGGTCAAAGGGGACTCCTTGGCCGCAGTAAAACCCTTGATGCCCATGAAACCTGACAGCTCACTGCCTTGGGGCCACCCGCTGGACCACATGGGGTCTCACTGTACTCACAGTTCCAGCAGCTGGCACCCCCCATCCCCCAACTCCTGTCTTCAAGTCTCCATTTCAAATGCTAAAAAGAAGATGGAGACCCCGGCAGCTGGGGGCTGCACAGTCTGGTTTCAGGCTCATGAAGCGTATTCAAAACAAAGGTCAACCATTTGCATGCCAGGTTGGGGTTGGACTTCGTTCCTCAATTTAATTGCCCCTTTCAGATGGAATGAGAGAAGAGGTGGCAACTTAAGTTCCCCTGCTGGGCACGGAGCCATCCTGTCACACGGGCCTGCCCTCGCGCCTGCCCAGGGCTGGCTGCGGGGGAGGCAGCAGGAAGTGCTCGCTGCCGTTGGAGGAGGTGTCTCAGATGAGACTGGTCAAGCAATTACAGACAAAACGTGTAAAAATGCTTCCTCGTCAAAGCGGGCACCTTTCCCTGGCAGGCTGCCTGTGAACTGGCAGAGCCGGCCCCTGGGCCCTCCACCGAGTGCAAGGGGCTCTGGACAGCAGCCGCTCCTCTGAGTGTGTGTGGCTCCTTTAAGTGGCACAGGAATTGACCTAAGAGGCCTACTCAAGGTCACTTGAGAAATCCTCTCTGTAATCTGGACATGGATATTCAAAGTGTAAAAATACCTTGCAGCCTCATTGCAGATCCAAACTCATTGCATCCTTTGGCAAGTGCCACTGGAGGAGGGACGCATCATCTTTAGTCTTTCCAGCAAGGCTCCTTCCAGTGGGTGTTTCCCCTCAGGCTCACCAAGCGCTCGCACACCTGGAAGCCTTGACTTCAGCCTTCCTCCTTCCTATCTTATCTGCCTTAAAAGCTGAGCGAAGACAGACGTGGAATTTTTAAAGACACTTTATGAGTCACTTTGATTAAATAAACAGTTGGTCATATTTTTTTTGCTCCCCCAAACTCTTCTATTAATCCAATGAACAAATATTTATTAATATTTATTTTGTTGCCACTCACTGTGCTAGACACAGTGACCGCTACAGTCACGCTTCTCCCTTCCTGCGAAGGGCAGACAGCGCACAGGGACCTGGCGCTGTGAAGGTGACAGGCAGGATGGGCTGGGGGAGGGGGCAGGAACAGGTGGGGCAGGGCCTCTCTAAGCAGGTGGCATTTGAACTGAGACCTGGAATGTGAGCATAAGTCGGATTTTGCATTTCTTTTTTTTCCTTCTTACAGATTTTCACTTCTAATAAAGTAAATATTAACCTTTAATATTTCACATAAAAAAGCTTTTTGGAGGTCTTTTGAATTTTTTTCCCAGAGAAAAACTGTATGGAGACCAAAAAATGAAAAAAACACTGTGGTTTATGCCCAGCTGTGATTGGCTTATTTCTTGTTCTGACCTCGTAAGGTACCAATGTGCTGAAATTATAAATTGCTCCCACTTAAGTCCTCTCTGTTATAGCCCAGGAAGTTGATTGGTGCTGACCTGTTGGATTTGGACAAGTTCACTTGTTTTTTCATTTCTGATGGTATTTTTGTTGTTGTTTTCATTTTTTTAAATTAAAAAATTTTTAAAATTTTCTTAGTTTTCCTTTTATTTTGTTTTTTCAGTTTTTTTGTGTTCTTTTTCTCATTTTATTTTTGTTTTAAAATTTTTTAATTTTTACTATTTTGTTATTTTTGTTCTCTCATTTTCTCTTTCTCAATTTTTTAAATTTATTTTTTCTTTTTATCTTGTTTATTGTCAATTTTTAATTCATTTTTATTATTTTTAATTCCTTTTTCTCATTTTTCCTTTCTATTTAGCTTGTTATTTTTATTTTGTTTTTAATTTTTTTCTCATTTAAAAAAATTTTTATTTTGAAGTCACCATGTCTAATGCCTTTGCAGCCACTTTTGCCAAGGGAGGCGCTATATCGGCCATTACACACCACTGAATACCATTGGCAGGGGGTCCTTTGCTGAGCGAGGTTGGCCTGGGACATTTTGATGGGCACAGAGGTGGCTGTGAAAATCACGAGCCAGAGGGGCTTCTCTGAAGTTTCACAAGAAGTCCATTGTCTTAAGAGCTTAAATCACCCTAACATCACCAAATTATTTGAG